ATATAACTTACTTATATTATAAAATTGTGTGTTGCATTTATTTATACTTATTTGTAGTTTATTTTTCTTTCGACATTGTCTTTGTGCTTCCTAGTAATCATCGTCTGAATTTTGTTAAATTATTATTTATATACAATTGTTATATGAGTCAGTCTCCTTGATACTGATTAGCAGACTATTTGATTTTATTTACTTTGACCAACCGGTTTTTATCCGTAGGCGTGTACAGACCTGTATTTCAGGGGTAGCCTACAATACTATACATACAGTACAATACATAGCCTATCTTAACCAAACTTGTACGTAAATATATTAAATTATAATGTATAAATAATTCATTAACTTTAAATTTTTATTTAATATTGTGGTATATTAGTCCCCATGAACATGTTTTCCTTGAATCTCGTACATTTTCTTCAATTATTTATGATTTTTACTTTTGTAGTCAATTGTAACTGTTATAATATTATTATCATTAGAGCGCGGATGTAAAAACATGTTTTTAATAGATGTATGCATAAAACTACGAATGTGAGAAATATCAAGACTTGTGCCCCACTTTAGTCACTGTTAACATACCATGGAAAAAATTACAAAATACAGAATTTCGTCAGTTTCTAGAAAAATACACAAAGAATCATATTTTTTAATATAAAATTATTTACCAAATATTTTAAAATAAATTATATTTAATTTGAGTAACATTCGTTAAAATGTATGCTCCTTACTCTGATATTTAAATTGTAAGGTCCTAATCACTACATTTTGGTGTATGCCCGATTGATTGTGCTCACGATTATATATTTTGTATTTGATAGCCGAAGGACTACTTTCATATCTATTTTATGCTTTGTTGTAACTCTGTGTTATTTAATTACATCATATTCAACGTTCGGAATTTATTGGCATTTTTTTAACCATTGACTAATAATCTTAATTTTGTATTATTGATGCACTTACAATTTTTAATGTATTTTCCAATGAATTTTGGTGTGATTCATTAGTTTTTAAACGATTTTTTTCCTTTTTTTCAGATGATTGTTTTTCATTAGTAGGGCCCGCAATTATGTCCACTAAAAAAGTACAAAATATGCATTCTCTTATGCACTGACTGTTATAAAAATATGTAAACTAATATGCATGTTAATTAACTTTATTTAGCTTAAATTTTTGTATAATTCATTAAATAATTAATATAGAACAAAATAATGTATTAATTATCCAGTTAAAATAATTTATTTATAATATATATACTGTATGATGAATTTTGAAATTTTTTATGGTATATTAGGCAATAATTGTTGAAATTTTAATTTATTTTTTCGATTAACAGCTTGGATGTATTTATCAATTTTTAGATGTCGTGTGACAGTCAAGCGCTTTACACTGTTGACTTTAATCTCGCATCATTGACAAAAAAAAAAAAAAAATCCCCCGTCAAATGCAAATATATTTTCTCCGAATTCCGCACCATATTTATGAACAGAAGATTGTTCTTTTGACATTTTAATAAGAATCAAAAACACAATATCGTGAACGAAACACTACTAAAATATGGTTCTCGAAAACCTACTTAAGATACAAATTTCAGTAACTAATCTCAACCGAATTATATTTAGATATTATAAATATTATATTATAATAAATATTATATTTCTAGAATCATTTAAATGATATGATAAAAAAAATTCCTTACTAACCATAAGTATATTGTGGATAAGACCAACGAAAATTAGGTAAAAAACAAATGAGTATTTGCATTTGACTATAATGCAGTGAAAAATTGTGAAACATAACAATTTGCAACACCCATCAATAAAAGACAAAAATATGCAAAATAAAACTACGTTTCGGATTTATTAACTATAATTAAAAATGTGTAGCTTGTCTAGCTACTTTGTGGACTGTTAAAAAAAAACAGCAATTGCATATAGATCCAAGCCCTACTCATCAGTTTCCAACAATATTCTATTATAATATTTTATTCATTTTATTTAATTTAATATTTTTTCTAATATAACATTAAATTTGTCAAATTTTTCAATTATATATTGCACAAATATCGATTGTTTACCTGATAGCTAATTTTTTCGTTATTGGTTGGCGCCGCCTTTTATTATCTCATTCTATCATGAAATCAATGCAAATCCATTTGCATTTTATGTTTTTCGAAATTTTTGCGAATCCATTTTCATTCGCATCTCGATAATAATTACGCAATGCCGTTTTTAAATTTCGAGCATATTATCAAAATATTCCTTAACTAATACCTATCTATATATAACACAGTTCATAACTATAAATTATGCACTTAAAATGACACTTACGCTGACGTACACGCTCGACTGGAGACCGTGCAAGATTTTACGATTCAAGTTGTAGTTGTCATGTATAAACGTACCATGTTAGAAACAACAACCACCGATCGATAAATGTATTAGTGGTTTGCACTACTAATAACCCCAATGCAATGAGTCGAAAAATTAGATTGTCAGGAGTACTAACCATCACATTGGAAATAATTACGCGTATCAAAAATGTATTAATACTCGTGTAACATTTTAGCCATAATTCATTAGTTGAAGCTGATATCTAAATCTGAAAAGCTAACTTAACTGCCAGCAAGAACTGGACAAAGTGTTGTCAAATTGTCATGCAAGTCGAAGTATAAAAGCAAAAATTTTTTGAGTATAGAAAACTAATTTTTTTCAATTTCAAAACGTTACACATCAACTGTATGTCGCAATAAAAAAATTATAATAATAAAGGTTTTCCAATTAAATAATATTGTCAATTTCATTCTTCGTTTTCATACCTATTAATGACGTTCTATAGAAATCATATGGGGATTGTGTACAATGTTTAGGCATAATTTAAAATAAAACAAAAATTTAGTACGTACTAGGGATTATATTGAATTTACACACATTGCCTACATCATAGATATGGTTAGGAAAAAAACTGATCTGTTTTATTTTAGGCGGAAATACGTTTTTTTTTATTGTTTTAGCAATATCGCGTTAAACATTTTTTTTGTATATCACACGCGTTTTATTTGGACGTTGTTGCCGGTACGGTTATCATTTTTGTACAATTGCAATGTTGTACATCCTGTACAGTTTAATAACATGCGAACGACATAGAACAGTATATGTTCTTGGCCACAGCGATTTTTATATCTCACTCGTCAATTGTTGAAATGCGGTTCTATTAAGGTGTACATAAAATTATTTGAAGAAAAATAGTCTAGTGTATTTATGAAGAATCATTGTTGCCAAAACGTTACCTACACTCGGAGAGTTTTACATTTCCATCGAGTTTTGTACGTATATACACGTACTTATGTAACGGGTTATCACATTTTTTCTTATATTTAAATGTGAAATTGTATCAATGGAAAAAAAAAAAATGCTTAAATGTAAGGAAATTCTCCGTACTATTAATTATTATGATTCGTAGTTATTGCCTTGATTCAGCCAATGGTGGGTGTTTTGAATTTGAAAAAAGGAATCATACGGGATGGGCAATTGACAAGTTACATTGATTATAATATAGTGCTTTGGTGCGATTAAGTTTACGTTCTCAGTTTGCGCAGTGACTCGGAAAGTCTTCGTGACAAAAAGGTTTTTTTCCTAGAGTTGGAATTTACTTTAAACCGAAAACACGCAACCACTATCGGTAATTACTCGGAACTTATTTTATTTTTTTCATTTTTTATAATTAGAGTTGTAATAGGCACCTACGTTTCCCGTGTGTAGTACAATCGCCAAGTACGCACAACGCGTGTGTGTATAAAAAATTCGACGTTCGAGCAAGACGCGTGGTATTTCCGAGACGCTAACATCGGTCGTGAATCGTTTTCACAAATCAAACGACCCGAACACGACCATAACTCTACAGTATGAATATATTATAACGTCACGGTCGTGTTTATTTCGTACCTTATCACACACACAACAAATTATGCATATATATATATATATATATTAGGGTACTATTAGTATATTAGTATATTCGTATATTATCTAGTGTACGAGTTTTTTTCAATAAACGAATTAACACTTTTTAATTTTTATTTTTTTTTATCGAGCAATAAAATTGAATTACGTTGAATTCTGCCATATGCAATAAAAAAAAAAAAAATAAAAATGTTGAATTCGGTTTCGAAATACGCACGATGCGTTGCTATGCAACGACATACTTTCGTGATGACTTATTTCTCGCCAGACAATAGAATAACCGTTTTTCTTTCTTTCTTTCTTTCATTTTTTCCGAGACATTTCTGACCACGGAACATCCTCGAAAAGTGTTCGAAATAAAATATTATTATCCAGCGCTGTTATTTTGATTTATGCGTTCGGTCGCCACGTTATTTTTATTAATTTAAAATTCACCTAAAAGAACGCAACGGCTTTTGTTGGCAATTTATGTAAAACATCTCATCTCTCCTTCCGGTGACAGTAAAATATTCTCGGTGAGTTTGTCGTCAGAAGTCTGATAGTATTGCATAGTGTCGGCGAAAACGCGACGAACCGTGTTCGCACAATCAATATGGTGTCGCGTCGTACACGGGCGTATACAAATCGGCCCAAAAGAATAATTCATTCGATAACGCGTATTCAGTACCAGAGTCGTCACGAAGAGTTGAAGAAACGTTCTATAATATTTCTTAATGAATTTTATCGAAAAACATGACGTGGATGCTACGCAATGATAAGGAATGAAGAAAAAAAATTACCAACACCCGAGAAGTTTTATTTTTTATCCGTAAATGTAATACATTTTCACTATTCAAGCACACATGGTACGTGTGTTGGTTTGTTTGAAAGTATTTCGGTTTTTTTTTTTTATTCAAAATAAATTATGAACTCCGTGCAGACTGTAGAGGCATTACATGTTGTGAACCATTTGTATTCGTGACTCCGCGTAAAACGTACAGTTAAAGGCTATAAATACTTATAAGTGCGATATTGTTGAACGTAATAAAAACGAACTCGAAACAAGTTAAGAAAGGTACAAACTATATTTTATTTTTTTTTTTTTTACATTATAATATAAAATCGTACATTTTAGAAATAAGAATATCGAATTACACTGTTACAATGTAAAACAGCATACGTAGCAAAAGCAAAATATTTATAAAACGCGTATTATTATTACGAGAAAATAAACTACACAAACAAATAAATATCCTTATATCACTTTCGTAAAATTTATAAGTCTAACGAATAATTAATTACATAAAGACCGAAGAACTAGAATTGTAAAATTGAAGTTATAAATTGAAGATAGAAATAAAAAAAAATAAATAAATAGAAAATAAAACCATCGAACCATTATCAATCAACTTCGAGTTTTCTAAAAGAACCTTCGACTCCAGCGAGCATGTTTACCTTAACGTTTGGCTTTTTGGCCCGTTTGCTCTCGTCGCAAACCACCGAATTCTGTGACAGAAACCATTCCTTATGTTTTTGCAGTTCTTCGATCCAATCATCTGCAATAAAAAATAAAAAATTATATTTAAACATTGATCGCGATATTTTTTTTTGAATATGAATCATACATTTCATGGATAATATCGATTGTATTGTTGTACCACACAGTGGAGTATACATAACTTTTGTATTTGGGGTGGGAGGGACAAACCATTATTTTTATTTTATCATTATTTTTTTTTTTTTTTTTGTACGTTTCTAACGCCCTCACACTAAGAACATTATTTTATAATAATAAAAAAATGACCTAGGGGGGATTTTATTCCCATATCCCCCTTTGTATACGCCACCGGTACCACATCCCGAAACCTCCGTAAGCACTACACGAGAGCAAATCGCTAATCCCACGTAATAATAACAATAATAACGATCATATACATGCGTTCAAAATTCTGTGTAAAAAAATGTGAGTAATTAAGTTGATAGCGTTTTTCTCTATGGGTTTCGAACGTGTACCGATAAAATAAGTTCTACGACGTGAATACCGAAGTCGTTGTCAAAGTTTTAAATGTGCAACCACAAATTATCTGCGCAACGCATTTGTTAAATTATATACCAGGGTTTGTCCGTCACTCGTACGGTTTTGTTTTAGTCCTCGTCAGTGGCATATCCGTGGGGGGATTTGGTGGTCAGACCCTCCCACTCATGAACCTGAGATGATAAATTAACTGTTACATGAAACGGTTTTTTCTTTAACATTTTTATATTTTAGAATTTTGACTTGGAAATCATATTAATAGTTTGTATAAACACTATAAACATATTATTCTTCCCTCCCCATAAAAAGTTCCTGGCTACGCCACTGGTCTTCGTTGCCTTTTAAAATTGAACACCGTTAAAATCAAAAGGTAAAAACGACTTGACGAAACGTTTATATTCTATGCATTTTAGTACAGTTATACCTCTTCGTTTGCAGAATCTCGATATTAGTTTTCATCCAAACTCATTTATATTTTTATTGCTAAATTTCCGGAATATTACACTTCCTTAGCTAATACCTGTTCGTTGTAATAACAGTGTCGTTTCCGCTTTGTAGATTCATTTAGATTTTATGGCCAAAAACTGGCCTTCCGGTAGCCCGTCTACGATACGTATACGGTTCGTGGCAAGGAATAACGTTTCCTAACGCGGCAGATCCACTATCCACTATCCACTATAATTTAATCCTATCAAAACACGCCCGTCGAACTTTATTCGGATTTTTTCGGTCGGTTTTACGACCGCACACGGAAGGACTTGATGTTTCTATTGTAAACCTGAGAAACATCGTATCACACGTTTTCGCTGTGTGCTTGTTATTGTTTATGATTGTTATTATTTTCGCGTTTACAAGCGCGTACGACATGCGACGTAAACCAAAACAGTGTAAGATCGAAAAACAAAAAAAATAGAATGCCGCGCTTCGTCCATTTTATGAAACGGCACGTCTACGACCATAACATTATGGAAAAATCGCCCACCGTGCGCAATAATGCAAATAGCGCAATTCATGTATTTGCTCGCGCATAGTTATATAGCACGTCGTAATATAACACACGGGCGGTTTTCGTCACAATGAAACTGAGAAAAAAAATCAAATTCTAATTATTCTATTGTAACAATATGCAAATAAATAATTATCTACTTATATATAGGAATACATAAATGATTAAATAAATATCAACCCTGGAGTATTGTTATATGTGAAATCGTACGATGGATTTGGAATTGAAAATGCATCATAGTTGGTGTGTAACAAAGTTAATAATAAAAATAAAATAAAAATAGATAATAAAGTAGCGACTGAAATAATAAAATAAGTAATACGTCGAGAAAAATATGGTCGTTTTACGTAAAGATAATTTGTGTTAATTTATAATTTCAAACCGGTCGTAATATACATACATATATGACAATACTCCAGACTAAGCATATGCTAAATTTATTTGTGTATTGATTTTTGTTTTTTATTCAAATTCGTATTGTTCTAACCTAATCATTGTATCCTTGAACGTACAAATATTACGGACTTGTCGTACAGGGACAACGGCTATTACCCGTGTTCCGGAGTGTGGCCGGTACAACACGTTATTCCGGTTCGGTGGGCGGAAGGAGCCAGCGCACGACTGAATCGCAAAATTTGCGGCAACCCGACGGCAAACGCGCGGCGCAAAACACTATTCGTCCGTGACAGCGAGTGGACAAAAAATAATCACATGGAATAATGAAAAAAAACACACGTGGTCACGACGCCATTAGAATATGGTCGCGGTCACTCCGTCGCGACCGTCGACCACGTTCCCAGCACCGTTCCGCCCACCCGTTTATCCGCCGATGTTTCGCACGTCCACGAGACAGAGCGTAATAAGGGTGAGACGAGCGAGGCACTCACCTTGGGTGCCTGAAGCTGGGTAGGGGGCACAAAAATATTAAATTATTTATTTATTTTAAGAAATGTTATTTCTTGTTTTGCTAGAAACCTAATTACAATTTTCAGATTTTCCGAATCGTGTTATACATATTAAAAGCTGTGAGTGTGACAACCCCACAACCTAGGGGGCGCATTACTTCAGTTCCGTCTCAGGATAAAAAATCGTTTGGTACGCCCATTAAATCCGGGCGCGGTTCGGCGCGACACCGGTGTGCCTACACACTCGGTCGGGTCGATGATCGCGCGCACGCGGGTTTCGTTGTGATACGCGGAAGGACTCAACTAATGTTTTATCTGTTTCCGTGAAACTCTGGAAAAAATTGACTCGGGACGACTCCGAAAAAAGCGAAATCTTACAATGAGCGTTGCTGCACAATTTTCCACCTCGTCTGAAGCCACGACCGACCGCAAACGATTCGTCTTTTCCTCCTTACGTTCCAATTGTTTCATCTCGGTGTGTCATATCACCCTACTGTTTTTTTTTTTTTTTTTTGTTTTTGAAAAATATATAAAAAGCATATATTTCAGTATAAATTGTTCACATTTTTTAGCATAAATTATTAAATTCGACGCGCTGGATAAAGATGACCGTAAAATCGAACATTTATACTACGAAGAAAACCTGAGTCTATATTATTGTTTGCAATGATAAAAAAAAATATTTTAACAAACGTGTTTGGCGCCCAGCAGGCCGATCGGATCCGATTCGATTGCAGCAACATTTATTAGAATTAAATCAAAAGAAACAAATAATTGTTAATTTTTATATTCTGTATACTTGATCGAACGCTACTAATATTTTTTGCGGATAAAAACATGATTGTATTATAAGAACATTGTTTACCCAAGGATCAATAGTAAAATAGGCAAACATTTAACAAATAAAATGCAATTTAATAAGACAATAGATTATTTATTTCCAGTTAATTTCAGAAAAATATTTAAATCGTATTTTCGAGGTTAAGATCTTTCGATAAATAAATGAATAAATAAATAAATTACGAAAACGACGCGTGCGTGTTAATTTTTATAATATATTAAAAATTTAATCAAAAGCAACTGCTATGTTAGTTGATCAGAAAACAAGTAACACTGCGCTGTATCATTGCCGTATGTAAATCCTTGGTATGAGCGAATACGAGAAGAAACAGCAACTAGTTATGGTTTAAATTGATTTTTAAAAGAAAAAGATCGCCAAAGAGAACCGGACAAATTTAATGATCTAAGGTTGTGTGACGGTGAGTAATAATTTGAGTACGAACATCGAACACGAAAAGAAAAATTATTCAAATAAGTTGTTCGTCGGGGGGAAACGTGTGGTAGAAAATAAAGGTATACGCGAGAATCTGCAGCAGCAGACAGGTGATGCAATTACGATAGTGTAGTTTGACGGGGGCAGGACGCACTTCCTACTGTTGCGTTGCCGGGCACCGCGAACGGTTAGATAATGTTGTTTCGAGGTCACGGTCGCGATTAGTGCGTGTACGCGATGCCGGTGATTTCTGATCGAATTACTATTCCAAACCGACGACTTCCGCCTCGATCCTGGTCCTGGTGCATTTCAGAATTTCAACGTGAATATTGTAGCTCGTACACAATCAGAATATTACACGACGAGACGGCACCGAGAGTTTGGCCGTCGCACGGGACGGAGACAATAACAGCGTTAACCTTAAAAAAGCTGCGTGTTTGTGGGAAAAATAGAGAGATGGATAAAATGACTTTCCGTACTATACAGTTTGTTGTAGCTATTATTGTTTTGGTTTCTCTTTAACAGGTATTATCATGCAAGAGGTGAACACAATATTCGTATTATATATGATCGTCGAATAAACGGCATGTCACTCCCATGTTTCGTCAACCGAACGCCAGGGTTTTCGGCTCGCGGACATACCGAAGACAATACGCGTACGAATTTATAATGTACATTGTTAGCTCTCAAAACAATAATACAATTTTATTTCAGATTTAATTAATTTTATAGAAGAACCTGTTTGATAACTTTTAATAAATTACTCACACGGGATGAATTTTCAAGGATGCAAATCTATTTTTTTTTTTTTATTGTACTTCTATATTATCCATTTATTTAAATTGTGATCGCACACGTGCACTACAAGACTACATTTTACTTGAAAAACAAAAAAATTTTTTATTGCCACAGAATACTAATAGACACAAACAGTCTATGAATTAATCTGTTTATTAGAAAATGTAGTTTTATTTTGCAGTATACATTTTTATTTAATCAGAATTTAAGCGCAAAAAAAGCAGTGAGCGTGCATAGTAAATCACTCTGTATGATTAATAGTACAGATAAATAAATCGTTGTTGTTCTATATTCTATTCGACTTACCGGTCATCTCTTCAGCAGTTTTCGGGAACGTGCCGCCGTAGTCCAGTGGTAACAATTCGGGTTTGATGTGCTTCTTCAGATCTTCGACGGAATCGTGGATCATGATCTGCATACCGAGAATATATATCGTTATAAAAAAAAAAACAGTCGCCACAGCGTGAATTTTCATATCGTTTCGATGTGCCATCGTCGTTGTGACATGTAAACACCGATGAGATAAATGAAATAAGTTATAATGAATAAGTTTTTATTTTTAATAAAAACGTTTTACGACACGTAAACTCTGACAAAGTGCCTACAAACAGTGCTTCCGACAGAAGGAATAGAACTGATATTTAAATACTTTTTCCATGGCAAAAATGATTTACGCAGTCAACACGGCTTAAAGTTAACTATCCAACGAAGCAGTTTCACGTGACAAGTGCCCAAACTATAAATTTAAATTAAATTATAATATAACTAATGTGCAAACGAAATTTTGCACATTTAAAATGTTGTTTATAAGTTCTGAATTATAATTGTATGAGATTTTATTTGCTTAAAAGTTTCAGATTGTGAAGATAATTAGTGAAGACGATGCAGTAATGATTGATCAAGAAATTGTGAAATGTAAATAAAAAAAAAAAAAAGTGAAAAATATCACGTAAAACATTAATGAACCCTATCACGATTTGATTTGGCAGCTAATACACTGTTCGCTTTACTCGTCGGGGCTTACGCATCGTGCCATCTTAAGGAATGTCGAATCCGTCAATGTTCACCATGCCACTCCCGTACGATAACCGGCGAACCGAAATGGCGCTTACCCGGCTGGCGATTTTCTTCTTCAAAATCCCCAGGACCATGTTGACCATGGATTGTGCGTAGGTGGGCATGTTGACGATGTGCACCTGGTGAATTCTCAACGGATACGCGGTCTGCGAACAAAAAAAAAAAGAATAAATAAAACAGATCTACAAAAGCAATCAATTGTGATACAATGTGTTTCAAACTTTGAACTATTTCCGTCCGTCATGCGCGTAAAGGTCGTTAATTGCTGCAGAGCTCCGTCAATGTCGACATGAACGGATTACGCGTGCAGATTTATTGGACAACACTTGCAATGTCAAGTACGCGTGCAAGTATTTCGCGGTACATTGTGCGCATGCACTTGCGGTTATTATGATAATACTATTATTATGCAAAACAGATTATCGAATAATAGTGTATCCGATCGATATCTCGAAAAAAGACGGGATCGAAAAACAAATGTGTTTTTTACGCGTGAGCCGTCGTCGATTTGCGATAAAAATAATTTTAAAATAATAATGGAATATATTATATGCGATTGTTGCGTTTCAAGTATACCGGTCGACCGTAATTGTACGTAATTATATGCCTGTCCTAGACTAACACAAGTGTGGGAACATAATGTTTTCTATCGGCTTTATACAAATACACGATAAACCGGCTACGAGACTCGACCGCGGACTGCAGTCCGCCGTCGTATCAACATATTAATCCCTGAAAATTGTTATGTAACACACTGACAATGGCTTCGAAATTATTGTAAAACGCAAAAATATCGTCCCGTAGAACGAAACAGAACGTTTGGTGTAAACGAATAATATGTCGAATATGTCGCGCGATTCGATACGTGTACAATAATAATAGTGATGGCACAGCGCGGGTTTCGATAATTTATATTTATCATTGTTCTGTGATGTACTTCGTAATTCGTTACATTGGACGAACCATTACGTTCGTGGAATTTTTATCGAAACGATAATTATATGTACATTTTTCGAATATTTTAATCTAACCGCGCACAGTGTTCAACTGTGATGGAGCGTTATTGTTACGGCAGTACAGCAGCACTGCCAACCCTAACGCTCGTTCCGCATTTCTGCGGAAAAGTGTAAACCATGAAGATGACTAAAGTGAGATATCGAAAAAATGATTAACGGTCACAATTGTTCTATAATACGCAGAAGGCGGTTGCGAAATCGGAACTAGGTAAATTGTGAACGCCATGTAACCGTTCAAACGATTTACGTTCCGATAAACCCACAAGCATCGAAACGAGATGTTTCGAAAATAATGTGATTTAACCCATGTAATCATTTTTTAGAAGCAATCCCAACCGCCCTCTCATCGTTGTTTTTGAGACCCGGTAAATGTTGAGTTAGGCAGCGTGTACTTACCGTCGCGCAGTAAATAAATTTCTTCACGTGCGGCACAACGGTGGTCAAGAGAGACAGCGAGAAATGTTTTAAGTCGAAGATGAACGTTTCCTTTTTGAACATGTCTAATTTGGACAGTCTGATGTCAATCGACATGAAATTCACCTTCACGTAGTCGAGGAACTCATAATTATCGATACCACTCGGATCCCTCAAACGACTTAAAGAGATCCTATGACCTTCTGGCGTAAGTTTCGGCAAGGGGATGAAAATTCTGAAAAATAATACACCAAAATTAATTAAATAAATATACTTCTAAATATTATGCTTATGTAATATAATGATAATATTGTCATCGAAAAGGAATAAAATAAAGGTCAATGAAATCAATTGTTGGTAAAAATAATTCGCAGTTTTATTATATAGTAAATTAATATCTTTCGTAGTTTTCAACGCATTATTATTAATGTTCCCAATGTTTTATGTAATATTGTTTTTATAATAATATAATTATTGCATTAATTACTATTTAACATATTACATTTTCTGCATTAATAAACCCCCTAATTTTCTTTCTTATGGTTGTTCTACATAAACAGATTTTTCTATAGTCATTATTACCATATTATTTCAAGTTTTTTCTTTCTTAATTATTTTGAAATATGACGGTTTTCATCACTGAATATTTAACGTATCTGTTACTTGTAAATTTTAATTGGTCTTACTTAGTTATCTCTTATTTATTTACTATTTCAATTTATTATGTTTCACTAATATTGTTTTACGATAATGATTACTTTAATTAACATATTAACACCATAATGTAAATTTATATCTAACGTGAATAATTTAATTGTTGAGCAATAATAACTATTTTTTGAAGGTTAAGTAGAAAAAAAAAAAGAAAAACATATCACATTCCAACATGATGCCGGAGTACTTTATGTTTCTCCGTGTGTAACATAATATTTTTAGAGAGTTTTATTATTATAGTTATAATAGTTGAAAATTAAAATATTTATCATTTTGTACTGATTGTAATATTCATACGACCGCGTGTGTACGTGTTAAATAAAATACTGTACTAAAAACACTTAATTTATTTTTTTGCTTTGTATTGAACGTGCGTGACATGTACGCCAAACAATTTCTTGTAAATCGCTGCTTTTTTTAATAATCACTACCGGTGACCGGGTGAATGTTATGGATGCGAGGTCGATGAGTGAATAATAAACGTCTGTAATAAATGTCTGTACAAGTAATCCGTTTCGAATCCTTATGTTGCAAGATTATCATTAATCAGTAATGGTTACGCTAACTGGTAAATTTGCTAATATATGTACTAATATTTTTAAATATTGATAGAATCGACAAAAAATAGTTTTACTGTAGGGAAATCTTAGGTCTGGCTGTGTTTAATAATATTATACTAACGATATTCCCATGGATCGAACGAGCGATGGCGATGTAGGATCCCTATCGCTAAAGAATTCAGGCACCATTGATTTGATGGTGTAGTACTGGTCCAACGATTCTTTGGTCCTTTCCAAACTGTTCTTGCACATTATCAAAAACATCCTGATCCTCCGCTCGTCTGCGAATCAATACCATAAAGCACATGTCATTTTTGTTGTAATTTCAATTGAAACTCGAATACCGTATTGTAAAACATCGCGAACAAACACACAACATAATAAAATAAACACTGTACATAAACGGGTGTACCTCGTAAAGGGAATTATTTTTAATTTATAAATCCTTGTTGCCATAGAATATACTTTGAAATACTATACATTTTAATTAAAAAAAAAAAAATGTTGGTATATCACACACGGAATGTTTATAATGAAATTGATATTATATTTCTGTTTATTCTGTAGGTATGTGTTTGTTTGTATTACATTAATTATTATGGAATATTTTTTCGTTGTAATGCGGCGCAAACAAAGCGTAGCCATTTTAATATTATAGAAGAGACGAAATTCACAGAAAAATAATAACAATGAACAAACGCTTAATAAATCAATCGAAGTTTTAAATTTCGAGCCCGATACACGAATAAATAAAATATCCCATGATGAGAGTTTTAAAACGTTTATTTCAACAACGGTTTATAAATACGTGTGCGCACAACAGCCGTATTTTTGTTTTATTTCCGTTTTTTCAATGCGACGTTCAAACGAATGTTACCGCGAGCACGAGTTTTTTATTACGCTAAAACTAATAAAAATAATAATATGCGAAAAAAATCGACTATTGTTCGGAAAACACAATTAAATTTTTCTTCTCGGGATCCGAGTAACGCTCAGTGTTCATAGTTTCTGAGCAGTCGGGTGTCGCGCGACTACGGATCGGAAACCGAACAATCGTAGGTACTCGGGACAGATCGAATCACGTGTTTGGCTTACCGTCGGGGTTTGGGAGATGGGGTTGCTTTCGCATCCACTCCACCAGTGTCTTCACCTCGACGTCGATCTTCTCCTCGGTGGTCCCGATATCCTGGAATATCTTTTTCAGTTGGTCGGGCTCGGGCAGCACTATGGTCTTCGAGGTGGCCATGACGTCGTTCAGGTAGTGGTGCAGTGTGGTGCGGACGGAGCGTGTTCCTCGAGAGACACCGGTGGTGTCGGCGGCCCAAAGTCTACTGATGGTTCGATGCCGCGTGGACCGCGGACGGACTCTGGCTGGCGAGGTCACGCGCACGACCGACGAGCTGTCGTAGTAGTGATATTACCCGCGACGAGATTCCACTACCGGCCGATAACAGATCACAGAGTACGAGTTCGTAGTTTAGGTTTTCGCCGGTAAACGAAACGGATTTCGGTCTCGAACGTGTCTTTGGTAACGACTGTTCGGATTGTTCGACGTATTCGATTGCGTTATCGACAACGTGCACCGTATAACATTACTCGTCGCAGTCAATGCGAGTGCCACATGTTCTGCGCAACGTTTATAAGCTCGTCCGCGGCCGCGCTCCTCCCCCTATCGAAACGTCACCGGAGCCGTTTACCGGTTATCATCAACGATTGTCACGTGTGTTCCGGGTCTGCGCGCGCGTTCGATAACCCGTTTGGAACACGATAATAAAAGTAATAATAAAAATCCTGTCCCGCGCAACAGGTTTCTCTCATTGACCGGCTGCCGTCGGCGTATTATCGTTGTTCGACTGAAGCCGAGTGTAAAAACAGTTCAGTCGATCGCGTCGCGGAAACCTACTGCGTCCGATTCGCATTGTAACAGCGCAAGGAAAAACGTACCATAGCGTTCGCGTTACGATACGGACGAATACGAATACCTAACTTCGTTGCTAGCCTTCGATTCCGAAAACCCTGGTCCCCGAGTACGAAGGTGCGAACGGCAGCCGAACGTAACGCAAAGGTGCCATTGGTGCGTACGGGATTCGTCGTTTGTCACACCAAAGGGACCGTTGTGCTGCGTACCGTTATTTCACACTTGTTCGCACGAGCGCGCATCGGATCCCACAGCGGAACGTTCCGCAACCGATCCGCAAAAACATTTCGAAGGAGCGAGACGGGTAGAACATGATTGCGCAAATTTTTCCTTGTATTGACAACACGATTGCGTATGTTTGTAGATGGGTAACAAAAAGGTGGGTAGGAAAAATAAATAAACACGATTGCGTATGAAATTGTACGCAAAGTTGTCAAATTTACTAATTTTGCCGTATTATACCTAATGAATATAAATATAGAATACATGTAGTAACTGTTCTATAATTATTCATAAAAATAATTAATAATAAATAAAACGAGGATAACTAAATAAGAGAAAAGTAAATAATAAATAAATGAAATCGACAGTTTTTATTTGAATAAATGTATTGTTAATAAATTATTTGAAAATGCTTAAATTTGGATTCCTTGATATCTATAACCTACTACTTTTACTGAAACTCGGAAAATACTGTAGGTATAATGTAACGGAAATAACGAAATTTCGTTATATCTGATATATTTAATTTCATCAATAAAAAACATAGGTAATAAAAGCAATAAAACATAAAGTATTTACTAACTCTTTTAAGCTTTCTTGTAAAGGCATGTGGTATACACCAATACCGGTACGAAAATTGGCATAAACGCTTAAGACTTCGTACGCAATCGTATGATTAAAAGTCGGGTAAAATCGTGCTGAATCGTGTAGCTTAAAAAAGGTATCGCCGATAACGGAAGTACGCAATCGCGTTTTGCCCGGCAAGACGTGCGACGCGTGTCAGCCCCGTGAGGTTGTGCTTTTCAAGGCGTTCCGTGCGCCATACCGCCTCTTCGTAATTGGGTGTTTAACGACTAATCATCACGCGACCGCCACCGGACCGTAACGATTATCGTTCGTCGCGATCGAAGTAAAACAAACGATTATCGTAGATTTATGCGCGCTCACCTCGAACGATCGGTTTTTATAGTATTTTAACCATTATTACTGTTTTATTTTCTCACACCTTTCGACTTGAGCACCGTTTCGTATGATTGGGATCAATACGCGTCCACGAACACGTTACTAATTACTCGAATGTTACAGAATAATAAATCATAAAAAGTGTTTTGATCGATTCGCGTAAAGAAAACATTGAATATGTACATTGCATTAATTTATATATTTATAATTAATATAATTAATAATTCATTGCCATGTTATTATATGGCCGTCGTGCACTTGAATATCGTAATCGACATTGATGGAAAAAAATAATAAATGCCATGATTAAAGTTATTAATTATTTATTTATTTTAACTATTATGTTTTATAATTAATTATAATTTTAAAATAATTACTTGAAATCTAATCTTTAGCCAAGGTAAACTGTTTATGATTTGATCTCTGAACAAAAATCATCATATAAGTCCTAACCGTGTAGTGTTTATATCCGTTTATGATGTTTAAATGCATATCAACTAAATTTTTACGAACGCGTATTGTACCTAGTAAATATATTTTTAATGTACATAAATTTTCGTTTTTAAAATATAAATATCAATAATACTAGTTTAGTAGTTCCGGAAAACCGGACGTGGGGACAAATGGACGTCAAAAAAACATAAATAAATATATATTTATAAGTTATAAAACCATTGATATTTTATGTTCATAATATAACTAATGGTATCATATCATGACATTAAACCTTATCCGAATTTTATCGTTTTGGCAATAAGTACCTTTTATATCAATATATATATATAACTTATTGGTTTTTACAACTTGTAATAATTATCACACTTTATCGAAACACGGTGATACACGAGATACGACAATACACATCTATAACCGTGTTAGTCTTGTACAAATTGCGTTCAAGTGTACATGTAAGATGTCATTAATTCAAATCGCGATGAAGTTTTTTTGAATGAATATTTTTGACATTAAAATTTACATATTATAATAAAAATAACTTATTTATTTTATTTACTGATTTTTTATATATTTTTTGACGTCCATTTGTCCCAACATCCAAACAGCCACGTCCAAACTGCTACGTCCATTTGCCCTAGATCACCGGAAAATGGAAATGCACAATTATGGTACACCGAGTACCAAAATCATTTTAATGTTGGAAACGGCACGTATTTTCGGCCGAGAATAAACTATCCCGTGGGTATTAATATCAGTTAAGCTCGGCGCAAATTGGACCCAGCCCACGGACATCGCACGCATAGCACACGCGTGGACTATTTTGTAGAACGTGGTTTAATACAGAGTGGCGCATATTAAACCTACTCCACGGCCAGCTCAGTTCCAACCTGTTTCGCTTGAGTCAAGTTGTGCTTGCAACACAGTTTCGTGGATCGTGGGTGAAAATATATAATAATAATAATCAGTGTCGGATTTACGTATAAGCTACACAAGCTATAGCTATACCCCCACTGTCTTGGGGACCCCAAAAAATTGTCCAAGTTAGCATTTGTTATATTCTAAATATGCGGCCCCAACACCAAAAAAAAAAAAAAATAAAAATATTCAAACAAAGAGTATCAATATGGAGAAATATTTCAAGTATTGAATAATACATATTATTATTATTAGATAGTAAACTAGTTACTCGGAAATTAATATTATGTTTCGCTATATTGTTATAAATGTGTAAAGCGATAATGTGTATTATAACCGTAAAAATAAACATTTATTTTCGTATTGTTTATCAGTGACTGTTTTTTGCTGCTGGATTACTGTCATCTTGCATACTAGCCACAGATTTGAGTTATGGTCCATGCGTATGGGTTGGGTATGCACTGTGTTCAATATGCGTTACTATTCAAAAAACATGTACTTGAACTGGGTTCGATCACGCGTATGCTGCGCGTGCGATGTACATGGGCTGTGTCTATTTTGCGCCGAGCTTTAACTTTGGACGTTTCGATGTGATTCACAAGCACTAATTTAAAATCAAACAGGATATAAATTACTCAGCGTGTTATAAAAACACAATACTGACCCGATGAATAGTGCTGTATGATGAAAATAAAATGTTTAATATTTAAACAAGAGGTCACGGTCATGGACGTGTATTAGAACACTAGTGCACACGGAGCCTAGAAACGCGTACTAAAAGTATACGAAAAGCCGTGTTTTTAGTGCACGTTTATTGATTACATATATATATATATAGTTAATAATCGTGTTTGTTGTGTATTACGGTGTATTGTTAAGTTATCCTTTTAAATATAAATGTATGTACCTACAATGATCTTACACTATGTTCTTGTAAAAATATTTTAAAAATATTTACTTCATTGAAAATTATATCTTATTATCCTTTGGTGGATAGTAAAATAGTGTAGCCGTTTAAGTAAAGCTTGTGTGTAATTTATGTAAGTGTTTATTAAATTCTCAGAATTAATCCATTAGAGCACCCGCGTCAATACTAAATACATTTTTATCTTTACTTTTTCATTTTTTGACACTGGATATATAGTACAATAAACATTTATTGTTAATTTGAAGGAACATTTACTATATTTTTAATTACTAAATATATTTATTTCTATTACCTAATTTTTTTATTTTATATTCAGGTTGTAACTTAGTAGATAAATAGCTCATATTTGAGGATAAACACGATTGCGTACGTTCGTTATCGGCGATACTTTTTTAAGCTACACGATTCCGTTTTAAACATTGATGCCAATTTTCGTTCTGATATTGGTGTACATCACATTCCTATACGAAAGAACTTAAAAAAATTAGTAAATACTTTATGTTTTATTGCTTTTATTATCTATGTTTATTATTAATGATATCAAATATACGGTATTTTCCGAGTTTCAGTGAAAGTATTAGGTTATAGATGCCAAGGAATCCATATTTAAGCATTTTCAAATAATTTATTAACAATAAATTCATTCAAAAATAAACTGTCGATTTTATTTATTAATTACTTTGCTTTTATTTAGTTATCCTCATTTTATTTATTATTTTATTATTAATTTTTTTTATGAACTATTATAGAACTGTTAATATGTATATGTATTCTATATTTATTAGGTATATTACGGTGAAATTAGTAAATTTGATAACATTGCATACAATTTCATACGCAATCATGTTCTACCCCATATTTGATTTTCAATCACGACTTCGAATTCGTGGAACTTGAAAATTAAATTTCTTTTTTTTCTACAACGATTTTGGTATATAAAGAAATATTGTATGCACATAGTTTTCTATTAATATTCACCTAGTTTTATATTAAACAATTATCGTCAAGCTTACAAGTTAAGTAATTGTAATTAATTTCCAAGTGATGATAATAGTTATGAAGTTAAAAATTCTAATACAGTTACTAGTGAATCGTTCGTCACTTCGTCTTCAAATAGAATAAATATTCATTATCATCATCATCAAGATTTCATCAACCATAGCCCCAAAAACGACATACAAGTATTTCGATAATAACCTAGAGAAACATCGAATTTGTAGTTTAGAAACA